AGAATGCAAAATCACACTGAAGTCCAAGTATTCAAAGCCAAAGCAGATAGCACATGGAACCGAGTAACCATCCCATTGAGAATGATACAGAAGAATCGTGAGTCAATGTCCATGCCCAACAGGGCAACACCGACAGCATAACCCAAATGTAGCTCTCTCTTGTGAATGGCGCCAGGCGCCCTATCTACTCTACAGCCTATCCTACAACTACACCAATGAACAGCAACCAGACAACTTGACTACCAGCGAGTGATGATGTCAACACCAATGCAGACCTCCACCATCACCAGGTACGTGTCCTCTTCTCCACACTCTCCCTTGTTACCCTCACAGCGCCCTTCACCTCCGAAGTACCACCTTCGCCCTTCACCCCTCTTTGCCCAGTTGTCCTTGAACAACTTGATGACGTATTCTGTATTGGCTGTCTCTGGCATTGGAATTAGTCTAGCGTATTTGGTGAATCGGTCAATGATGACAAAAATGTGCCTCTTACCACTCTTGCTGGTCACAAGAGTGTCCATGAAATCCATGGAAACCTCAATCCTGGACCATCAGGAATAGGTAAAGGCTTCAATAACCCAAGTGGTGCTTGAGTTCGCGGCTTGTCCCGCTGACAAACCTGACAGGTCTCAACATACTTCTTTGCGTCATTTAACATTCTGGGCCACCAAAATCGTTGTACTAAGTTAGCACTCGTCTTCTTGTAGCCAAAGTGCCCAGTTGCGTCATGACATTCACCTAAAAATAAACTACGCAACAGCTCACTAGATGGAACTACCAATCTCTTTATTCCGGCCTTACCAAGATAGATTAGCCCATCCACCATCACAAACTCACTTTCTGTGGCCTTGTCTTTTGCCTGAAGTTTGTGGATGATGTCCATCGTGACAGGGTCTTCTTGATAGGCCCCCACCAATGATTGAGTTACTTCATTAGATACGCCAAATTCAGAAACTAGCGCACCTAGGCAGTCTGCTCTACGGGATAGCGCGTCTGCAACCTTGTTGTACTCTCCHTTCRGGTACTCAAGSTTGAAGTSATATTGGTCTATGACCTCAATCCATCGCTTGAGTGCATCAGAAAGAGCCGGTTGAGTATTGATCCGTTTGAGGGTTTGATGATCAGTCCTCACATAGAAGAATCTTCCCAAAAGGAAGTGTCTCCAATGGACAAGTGTTTTGTAGAGAGCGTAGAGTTCCCTTTCGTAGGTGGACTTAGCCAACTTCTTCGATGGCATCTTCTTACTCATGTACTCAATCGGTCTCAACTTTTTCCCATCCTGCTGAGCCAGCACTGCACCAATGCCGTATTGGCTTGCGTCAATGGTCACTATGAATGGCTTTTGCGGATCGGGAACCATGAGAACTTCATGATTCATGAGTGCATGCTTCAATCTCTTGAAAGCACCCTCGCACTCATCACTCCAGTCCCACTGTGTGTCAAGTCGAGTTAGATCAGTCAAAGGAGAGGCGACTGTAGAATAGTTCTTAACGAAGTTTCTATAGTAGCCGCACATTCCTAAGAATGATCTGACCTCAGTGATTGTCTGAGGTCGTGGTCAGTCTCGAATACTAGCCACCTTCGCATCTTCCGGCCTAATCCCCTCCGCGGATACTTCATGACCCAAGTATAGCATCTTAGTGCGGCCAAACTCGCACTTCTCTAAGTTGACCTTATACTTGTGCTGTCGTAGGAGTGAGAGTACTGTCTCAACATGCTGTGCGTGCTCCTCGACAGACTTACTAAAGATCTGAATGTCGTCTAAATAGACTACGACAAACTTATCTAAATGGTCATGGAAGATCCGATTCATAGCGTGCTGGAATGTACCCGGCGCATTGCAAAGACCAAAAGGCATCACTACAGACTCATACAGACCATAACGAGTCTGAAAAGTTGTCTTGTGTTGGTCCTTAGGTCTTATTGCGATCTGATGATATCCGGATTTCAAGTCTATCTTTGTATAGTAC